CTCTGCCGGCGGCGGGCGTAGGACCGACTCAGGACGGGGGTGTCCCTGCGCTGCTACAACCCCGCTCCACTCGGACCTCAGCCCCTGGGCCCAGGTGGGGCCCCATCAGCGGTCGGCGCCGTTACTCCGTGGGCCGCCTGGGCTGTGCAGTGTGGGGAGAATGGCTCCCGCCGTGTCATCTCTCAGGTGCCCACGCCAGGGGTCCTGCCTGGGTCCTAGGGTGGGCAGACCTTGGGCAAACCATGGTTTCCATTTGCCTTTTTAGAGCCCCCTCCTTCCTAGGACCAAGACGTTGGGGGGGGGGTACCTTCTGGGGCAGATCCATTTAACAACCAAAATAGTGGTGCCTAAGGTTGCCAGGCATCCTGTCTATACAGGGCATGCCCTATATTGAATGGTTTAGCCTTGCTCTTTCCCAGGACAGCCTGGCCAGAGGGACAGAATGCAGGTAGCACTGACCCCGGGGCAGCGCCATGGCAAGGTGAATCAGGAGAGGTGGGAAACCTCAGTCTCTGCTGCTGTCAAGGAATCCGTGCATGTGTCAGCAAAATTAATCCTGAAACTGGCCGGGCCATGAACCAGGAGATCGTGGTTTGATTCCCCGTCAGGGCACATGCCCGGGTTTCGGGTTGATCCCCAGCAAGGGGCGTGCAGGAGGCAGCCGGTTGATGAGTCTCATCATTGTTTTTATTTTTATCTCTCTCTCTCTCTCTCTTTCTCTCTCTCTCTCTCCTCTCTCTCTCCCTACCTCGCTCTGAAATTCAACAGGAAAAAAAGCAAGCAAAAAAGAAAAGAAAAAGCGCATCAGTGGTTGCCTGTGGGGAGCCAGGAAGCCAGGGGGGAGGAGTACAAAGGGCATAAGCAAAGTTTGGGGGTTTGGGGCTCTGTTTATTATCTTGTGGTGATGGTTTCACTGGTATATACACAAGTTAAAACTTATCAATGACATTCTAATGACTAACATTTGTTTATTATGCTCGTCACTGTGCTAAGCACTTCTACATGTACTATTCATGCAGTTGCCCTCATGGGTTTGTCTTTTCTAACTGTAAAGAAAGTTCACGTTGAGGAAACAGGACTCGGAGAATCTGAGGGGGGGTTTCATGGAAGCAGCTGAGAGTCTGAATTCAACATCTTGCCGAGACAGGGAGAGAAGTGGGGGTTCCAGTTATGCAGAATCTCAGGGGCAGAGGCGTATGGTTAAGAATCAGCACGGGCCAGCCCGGCCGGGTGCTCAGTTGGCTGGAGCGCAGTCCCAGACGCCAGGAGGCTGCAGGTTCGATTCCCGGTCGGGGCACGTACCTGGGTTGCGGGTTCAATCCCTGCCGGGGCTCCTATGGGAGGCAACGGATCAGCGTCTCTGTCACACTGGTGTTTCGCTCTCTTTCTCGCTAACTCTCCCTCGCCCTCTAAAATCAATAAACATACCCTCGGGTGAGGATTAAAGAAAATGAATGAGCACAGTCCAGGAAGAGCAGCGATCACACCGATGAGGATGGGGAGACACGAGGAGAGGCGCGGGGAGCCCACCTGCGCTTAGCCCTCCCCTAGGACAGGTGCCTTCTGCGTGTGTAGTTTCTTACGTGGAATCTTCCACACCAGCTAACGGCTTCCCCACGCACCTTACACTCGTGAGGCTTCTCGCCCGCGCGCCGGCTGCTGCAGAACCCGCGCGACGCGGGCGCAGGGGAAAGCGAGAGAGCGCAAGCTGGGTCGTCCATAGGGAAGCGCGCCCCGCTCGGCCGGAAGTGCGAGCACCGTTTCCTCTCTAGGACCCTGGGAGGCGGCTCGTCTCGGTGATCCCCTCTCCAGGCCGCCGAGGGCTCCGTCGCCGTTTCCGCCGACACAGAGCTGGGGGCCCCAGGTTCGGGTCCGGGCAGGCCGCAGCCGGCAGCTCCTCCGGGGGGTGTAGTGACAGTCCTGGGACTTACCCAGGGTCACCTGGCGTTTGCCACTACGGGCTGCCCTGCCAGGT